AAAAAAAAAAGATTTACAGCTTTGGAAACCCTGTGGGGCAGTTCGGCACCAATGAAACGGCACTGGATTTGGGGTGGGTCCCCCTCATATGCTATTGTCTTATACTTCTGAACTATTTGCAGCTTCTGAGCCATATGATGTGCCCCTTACAGCTAACCCTAAGTGCTTGCCGTTCCATCTGCCTTAAACCCTTTTATCAACCCTGCTGCATTGTCTGCTCTTCTTTAGGTTTCCAATTAGATCTTGCTTCTGCCATGGCAGCCTAGTGGTTACAAGTTGGGCTGCTAACCACAAGGTCAGCAGTTTGCAACCACCGTGGGAGAAAGAGGAGGCTTTCTACTCCTGTCATGAGTTAAAGTATTGGAAGCACATAGGACAGTTCTACCCTGCCCTAGGGTCACTGTGAGTTGGAATCATCTCAATAACAGTCAGTTGGGTCTTGGTTTTCTCCCATGGAACCTCCTCTGACCTGCTGACACCCAGGACTAGGTATCTCTACAAGTCTGTCTTGTGATGTTCCTTTTTACTGCCTGTTTCTCCTGCTCCTTGAGAGAAGACTCCATGGCACTGTTAACCACCTCCCTTACCCCAACCCTGCCAAATGCCTAACATGGAGCCAGATACATAGCAAGTACTCAATAAATATTTGCCGACAAAAAAAAATCATCAATGACTTTCCTTCACCAAACTTCCCCACGAATGGCTTTCCCTTTCTCTGATGTAATTTTTAACTGATCATCCAGTTGGCTTCTGCCCACAGGATTCTGGGAACCACCATTTCTGGTTCTCCGGCTCACCAAGGCTGTTTATACCTGTGTGCCTTTGCCTATGCTCTTCCCTTTTGCCTCGAAGGCTCTTCTCTACCATTCCATTGTATGAACCCTTACTCGTTCTTTTTTTAAATAACAGTTTTATTGGCACTTCATCCACATATCATATAATTCAGTAGTTCAACCATTTCGAGAAGAGCTGTACCATCTTTACCACAATCAATTTTAGGCCATTTCCTTTTCCCTCATACTCACTGTTATTCATATAATATATTCTTTTTCCAATTTTGGCAACAATATATACAACATTCTCCAATTCAACAACTTCTACATGTATAATTCAGTGCCATTGACTATACTCTTAGTGTTGTTCACATTATTGATATCCCTCTCCAAATTGTTCCACTACCATTCAAATGAGCTCAGTGCCCTCTAAGCAAAAACTCTTTCTCCTTTACCCATGATAACCATTCAACCGTAGGTCAAGGTTGATTTCTTTTTTGAGTAGTTTTCTGGATATGATATTCACATATCATGCACTTCCATAGTTAGATCACTTTTAAAAGAGTTGTTAGCACAATCAGTTTAGTGCTCCCTCCCCCTGCTCATTCTTTTGGAGCCCCAGTAGTATAGTGGTTACGTGTCGGGCTGCTAACTACAAGGTTAATGGCTCAAAACAACTTGCTGCTCCATAGGACAAGGATGAGGCTTTCTGTTTCCATAAAGAATTACAGTTTAGAAACCTGCTCTGTCCTACAGGTCCGCATGACTCAGAATCAACTTGATGGCAGTGTGTTTGAGTTTTTTCTGGGTACTCATCCTTTAAGACCCACCTCTTTTGTGACCTTTTTCTTGACTGACACCCTCCACCCTCCTGGGTGCACCCTCATCCCCCAGGCCTGCCCTCCACCAGAGCCCGCATCAGATGGTATTGTCAGCATAGGCTTATGTGTCTTTCTTTCCTGGTAGGCCAAGGTAGACTCCTTAGGATCAGAATATCATCTCAGAGCAGTAGGGCTGGGATCTAATTAAAATCTAAAAAAACAAAATGAATCTCTTGCACTGTACCATAACTGAAAAAAAGAATGTCCTAATGCAGAATTCCCTAAGTAATGCTCCCTGGAACTCCATAAATGTTCCCTACTTTCCTACCTCCTAATTAACTTTATGGCCAAATAAGTTTGAGGAATAATACAACTACATCGTTCTGGGAGAGTCACAGTACCCATTTATTCCTTTATATTTGTTTCATATATACTTATTGAGCACCACTGTGTGCCTGGGATTGTGCTAGGTGCTAGGGTTATAGCAACATTTTTGCCTCCTTCCCTGAAATGCTGAACTTTTCTAGTTCAAAGGTCTTAGTACTCAAAAAGGAATGGTTCCAATAGGCGACTCAGTGCTGGTTCCATTGAGTTGGACATGTTCATCGCCACCTGACCATCCCAGGCTCCTTATTCAACTGCAGCAGCAGGCAAAGAAGAAGTTCTGAATGGGATGACCGATCTTGATTGCCAAGGAGAAGTTGAGTTGCTACCAGACAGCCGGGAAAAGGGAACTCTTTATGGAAGGAAACCCAGGTGATTCTCTACGGTACCTTTCAGTATACCCATTGCCCAGAGCAAAACTCACTGTCGGTAAGTCTATTTGGACTCCTGGTGACCCAACAGGACAGAGTAGAACTGCTCCATAGGCTTGTCGAGACAATACATCGTCATGGGTATAGACAGTCCCGTCTTTTTCCTACAAAGCAGCTGAGGGGTTTAAAGGGCTGACTTTGCGAAGAGTAGACAAGGCTTAAACCGCTGTGCCACCAGATCGCTTTCCAAAAGTAAAAGTTAATTTTTACAACTACAGCAACTCAAAAGGCAGGGCCAGTGCATTCATTTCCTGGCGTTGCCATAACAAAGCACCATAAAACAATAGGACACTTTCTTCTCAAAGTTTTAGCAGATACACAGCTGAACTCAAGGTGTCTTGGCAGGGCTAAGCTCTCTGAAGGCCCTAGGGAAGAATCTCTACCCTTTCCACCCCTCCACCCCCCCAGCCTCTCCTAGCTTCAAGTGGATCTGAGCTTCCCTTGGCTTGTGGCAGGGTAACTCCATCTTTGTCTCTTTTATCAGTGGTTGTCTTTCTTCGGGGTCTCTGGGTTCCTTCTCTTCTTATCAGGGCACCCGTCATATTGGATTAGGATCTACCCTCATGCTAACCGATTCAAAGTCTTAGGGATTATGACTTCTACATCTCTTGGGACAGGTGAGTGGGTGGCTGGGACACAATTTGATTCATAAGGATTAGATCCAGATCCTTTAAGAATGAGTGCTTGGGTTGTCCTACCATGTAAAGAACCAGACAAGTTGAAGTGCAGGCTGTGGGGCCAGGTGAGCACGAATGGAATAATCAAATAAGACAAATTGTACCTGTTATCTACAGCCTTGTGACCAGTTGTAGAAAAAAGGCTGCAGCAGATCATTTTTTCTTTTGCTTATAGTTTGTATACAATCTATCAGTCTATCTGTCACCTACACATAGTAACTAACTTCTTTTCTCTTATTTCCTCTTCCCCTTAATTTGCTTTATGGAATATGTAATGGCAGTCGGTTATAGAGAATGGAATATTCTGGTAGGGCTGTCAAAGAATAAACAGCACTCAAAAGATGGATACCATGTCTGTTGGGGTGTTGCAGCTCTTTGGGGGAGGGGAGAGGGAAGGTGAGCTTTACTCTGAAGGACAGTTGTGCCTTACTAGAGAACTATATACATTGTTTTTCTAAATGTATTATTATTTTTTATAAATCATTTTACTGGGGGCTCATACAACTCTTATCACAATCCACACATACATCCATTGTGTCAAGCACATTTGTACATTTGTTGCCATCATCATTCTCAAAACACATTGGTTATTTTTGTTGTATGCAAGTTTTGCTACATATAGAAGAGTGTGTATGGATGCTTGAGAGATGCTCTTCTGACAAGACACATGGCACTACGCTGATAGACCCCGAGACCTCAGAACTGGAGGAGCCACATGGAGACCCCTGTCAGCACTGAGATGTGTCTGCCGCCGCTGGATCCACATGACTTTGCACCTAATGACCTGTGATCTTCCTGTATTTGGCATCATTGCATGTGTTTCCTGAGTCCGAAGAGGAGTTTATAGATTGGTATCAAACATATGGCTAATAGACTTATGGACTTGATCTGGACTGGGCTGGGATGTTTTCTCAATGTTCAATTGCTCTTGTATATAAACCTCTTCTTTATACACATATGAGTCTCCCTGGATTTGTTTCTCCAGTCTACCCAGACCAACATAACTTGCGACTCAAAATCTACTCTTCTGTACCCAGCTATCGTGCTGGGGCTGAGGTTGGGGCTGCAAAGGACATCCCTCCCTCTCCTCTGCCATGTGGCCATCTCCCAGTTATTCTTCAGGTCTTGGCTGAGATTCCGCCAAGTCTTCTTTGACTTCCCTGTTCTGGATCAGGTATGCCTTCTTTGGGCTCATAGCACCACTCCCACTTCTCTGGGACCCTCATTTTTATCCTCGACCTGGGATATGGTTTATTCCTAATGCCATCAACCATTTATAGTATTTGTCTGCTACCTGTTGGAATATGAGGAAAGGGATTTGTGTTTCCCCTGCTTTATCCCCAGCCCCCAATCTAGTGTCTATTCACACAAACCAGAACCCACCCCAGGGAGTTGATCCTGACACATAGCCACCCTGTAGGACAGAGTAGAGCTGTCCCTTTGGGTTTCCCAGACTGTAAATCATTACTGGATCAGACAGCCTCATCTTTCTTCTGCAGAGCAGCTGGTGGATTCGTACTGATGGCCCGGTGATTAGGAGCCCATTGTGTAACCCACAGCGCCATCAGGGCTCCTTCTGTTTAGCTCAGTGGGCGCTCATGACATAGCTGTTGAAGGGATGCATGCAGCACAATCTATTTTCACTCTCGTTGTCTGTGCTACACATATGTGCTGTCATAGTTCGACCACTACCTATGGCAGTGCCCTCTCTGTCACCCTGGCCCAATGTACAGGCTTGCCAGCCACGAGCAGTCCATGCAGGCAAGCATTCAGATGACCGCTTTTTGCTTTTAACAGCGAAAGCCCCTTTCTCACCACCAGTCCGTGTGTGTTCACACGCCCTCTACAAGTGGGGAGAGCGAAGGGAAGCGAGGCGCCACAGCGGGCTGGACTCGCCATACCTGCATTTCTTAGGAAGTGGTTCTTGTAGTCCTTGATGATCCTCGTGACTGGATTGTAGAATCCGTCTCCACAGTCATAACAGCCTTTGGGGACTGTTCTCGGTGGGTCCATATTGGTGAGTTGAGAGATACCTTGGAAAGGACGCAACAGACATTTCGTCATTTACCGCTTGTGCTAAATCCAAACTGAACCCCCCCGCCCGAAAGTATACTTTTGCTCATGCGAGTTTTCACTTCCACTGTTGGAAGAGTCCTGTCTCAGGACATGAGGTTCTGGTGCCCCAGGGAGTCATGGGGCTGCCTCTGCCGAGCAGCGAGCAGCGATGCTCCCCCATCAGCTGCTCCCTGGGGGAAGGTGAGGCTGTGTGCTCCCATACAGGTCTGCAGCCTCAGAAACCCAGGGGAACCCGCGTGATGGCAGTGCGCTGGGGATTCAGGTCAAAGAGTGGGAGCAGCAGGGACAGTGCCCTGGGGGACATGCTGGAAAGAGTTCTGGAGGCGTGGCCTTGGGAACTAGCTGACTCTTCTGCCCTTACCCTCAGCCTCTATCTCAAGGGACACCAGGACAAAAGGCAAAGTTCTGGACTCAGAGACCCCGAGGGCAAATCAGTTGTCTAGACCCCTGGTCGCAGACGGCTGCTCTCAAGCCACCTGTGACTGTTGGTGTGTCCCCATGGCTCTGCAGTACGATCGAAGATGAAAATAAAAATGACGTCCGGCAGGTGGTGTAAGATGTGAAACTAATACTAAGTTGTGATTTCTCAGGGGTCCATGAGGGTGGGAGGGCAGAAACAAAGAAAATCAACCAAGGGCTCAAACAGAAAGAAAATATTTTGAAAATGATGAAGACACTATATATGCAAATGTGCTTGATACAATGGATTGTTATAAGAGCTGTCAGAGCCCCAATAAAATGATTTATTTATTTTAAAAAAAGAAAGAAAAAGAAAAGAACACTACCCTTGTTTCATTTAAGGGATATTATTCAGATCATGGTGGTTTCACCTGTTTGTAAAAATGCATTACGGCTCCCAAATCATTTGTCAGTTGTCGTGAGGAACAGGATTGGCTCTGCCGTCTCAAAGGCTTGCTGGCCTCTGGTCTAGATGGACAAGAGGGCGGATGGAATAGAGGGGGGGGGAGGGGTAAGTGGGGGGCAAGAGAAATAAGTGGGGCAGGTGGGCAAGGACCGGGTAGAAGACAGCCTGGAGTGTCACCAAGACAGCAGCTGCCCTTGACCGAGCTTAGCTATGTTCTACGCCTTGTGCAAAGCGTTTGGCCCCTATGATTTCATTTACCTATCCCAGCAAGCCGGTGGCCCCAGAGATACGCAGTCACTTGCCCAAGGCCAGCTAGTTAGGAAGTGGTAGACCAGGAATCCAAGCCTAGCAGCGAGCTCTGTAATCTCTATGCTATGTTGTTGCCCTCAGAGGACAAGGTGGCACCGCCTGGCCCCCAGGACTGTGGGCATCTAAACCCGTGGGCAAGAACGATGAGCCAAGACCTAGCTAGTCGGGTCATGCCACCCTGCATGCTGTGCATTTTGGAATGCTGGGGCTTGAGTAGGGGGTGGAAGAAATCACTTCTAAGGGTCCTTCAAGAGAAGGCCTGCTAGCATAGTGGTTACACATTGGGCTGCTAACTGCAAGGTCAGCAGTTTGAAGCCACCAGCTGCTCCTCAGGAGAAAGATGGGGCTTTCCACTGCTGCAAAGAGTGACCGTCTCAGAAGCACACAGGGACAGTTCTACCCTGCCCTACAGCGTCGTTATGAGATGGCATATTGACTCTTTGGCAGTGAGTTTTTTGGAAGGGCCCTTCACATTCGTCAGTGTGATCTGAATTGAAGGTTGGGTGCCCACTGAGTACAGCACCCTGTTCACAGCTCAGTGCCCTGCACTCAGTAGTTTCTCTTGTGCAGGTTGATGAGGGCTGCTGAGCCCCTACTCTAGGCCAAGGGCTTTATAGACGTGCTCTCACTGAAGCCTCATGCTAGCCCCATCTCACTGAGGCTCAGAAAGCTGCAGCGGCACCTTGCAGGAGGGAGAAGGGAGCAGGCTTCCTGTGCCTGCAGGAGAGGGCTGGCTGGTGCTGGATGGCTTGGGAGGGAAGTGTCTCCTTAGGCTAAAGCTGCCCTGCAGGGAGGAAAGGGGAGGGGCTAGCATGGGGCTGGGAGGGTGGCTGCACACTGGCCGAGGCTCCACTGAGAACTGAGGACCTGAGGCCAAGGCCTCCGTGGGGATAAAAACCCCAAGATGAAGTCCAGGCTCCCTCACAGTTCACCCAGGCGGAGCGGATCAGCAAGTTCTCGAGTGGAGTGTAACCAGGAGGCCATCTGAAGGCAGAGAATCCTTCTGTCTCCTCTGTGGGTCCCCAGGAGTGACACCGAGTAGGTCATTCCCCTAACTTCCACCCCTCTTCCCCAGGATGCCAACGTCCTGCTATCTTTGCTGTGCTGGACATTAGGGATGCGGTGGTGAACACGGCAGACGCAGGTCCTGCCTGCATGGAGCTCTTGGTCAGCTGGAGGAGAACCAGGGTGCTATGACAGACCTCAGAGAGACCTCACCAGGTCTGGGGACGCAGAGAAGGGGTCCCAGAAAAAGGGATAGCAGGCTGAGATTTGAAGGGTACCCAATGCCCTCGAGTCCATTCCGACCCAGTAGCACTATAGCACGAGTCCATTCCGACCCAGTAGCACTATAGCACGAGTCCATTCCG